CCCTTGGACAAATGTCCAGTTCAACGTCAATTCAGAAAACATCAAACTGAATCTCAAATGTGTCTGGGAGAAAGCCAGATGAAGAGAACAAGGCCAAGGCTGTGCAACCTGAAGGATGCAGGGAAGTGAGCTGGGGATGATGGTGTGCTCGCTCTGTTTCCTTGCAGAAATGTGAGCTAGCCAGCAGAACTGCCAAGCATCAGATTTACAGCAAAGAGCAGCACTCACAGGGCACAGCTGCGAATTTCTGCCAAACAGCAGCATGGCAGTCAAACGTATGGATTTCTAAAGAACTACATGCCTTTGTAAAAGCTGTGGCCATGAGAAGCTCCCTGATTGCAACCAGAAGGACAAATATCTACATAGGATTAATTAAAAAACAAGCAAACAACAATCCTGTTACCTTGTGTACACCATGTCCTAGATTTGGACATGACCATGATTCAATGGCCATCTTCCCTCAGCAAATGGGATAAGCAAACCAAAGAGAGGCAGGGCACAGTGCTGAGCATTCAGCCTCTGCAGCCCGACCAGAAGGGATGAGATTCTCCAGTCCTGGCAAACACACAAAGTGAGCTCACAGATAAACCAGCAGCACCATTTGTTCCAGCCTGCCTCACTTCTGATAAACCAGATTTCAAGATCTTCTGGTCATCAGAAGGGAATCCAACATAGTTGCTAGCTATCCAAATCGCAGGAACGAGCAACAATACCAGAATGCGTAATGACAGATTTACAATCGATCACATAGCAGTCCTCGGGTTGGGGACAGCTGAAGGGCTTTGTGAGAAATGCTAGTGCATTACAGAGGGCTCCAAAGGACCACACGTGTCTACAGCAAGGAGTGGAGCCCGGTTGGGTTCGGCCCTTTGAAGAACCATTATAAGCCCAAAGGTAGATTCCTAGACAGGAGAAAGACTTCCGTCTGCCAGTGGGACAAAAATACCACTTTCTTGGGATGGATCAGTTTGGACTGACCCAGGATTTGGGAGCTGACAGTGAGGTAATAATAATTAGTATCAAACCCTTTTTGGATTCCCAGTCTTTGGTGAGTAGGACAGCATTATGGCCAGGGCTCAGCGGCTCTGGGTTCTGTGCCTCACTTCTCTGCTTCAGTTTGGATAAGTATCACTGCAGGCTTTATTCAGCAGAACACTTGGAGGCAGCCCTCAAGACCAGGTTTACACAGAGAACTGTGTGTTCTTCAGATAGACTCTGATGGGCTGTTTGGGGCCACTGCTGAGCATATGGCACAGGTTGCTCACCTTCAAAGCCTTTGAATGCACATGAGGAAGGTTGGAGAGTCCATCGTACTCCCAGGAGACACAGCCTTAGCCTGCCTTCTGAAAATGAAATCAGTCCACCCATACATAAGTAAGCCGTAAGAAAGGGCAGTATGGAGCTGCAAGAGGAAGGAGAGTAATAGCTCATTTAAGGCTTTTAGTATTCTAACCATGAGGTGAGGAAGGGGACTGACCAGGAATAATGAAAGCTTGCGTGCAGGGGCAAAGTCAAGAGGTGCCAGCCAATGCTCTGAGGCTATGGAGGTAAGACAGAAAGGATGTGATGAAGGGTCTTCCTAGGAAAAGACAGAGTGCCTATGGCATGTCAAGTTTGGCAAAGGAGATGATGCCTTGGCAGAGACACCAGGATAAAACACTGATATTAAGGAAATAGGTGGAAATATTAAAAAAGTTTTTGATTGTACGCAGCACAATTTGAGAACAGAGAAAGTGATTGCAGCTTCCAGCAGGACCTGGAAGGAAAGAACTGATGGCAATGTGAGCACAGAGTGGGCTAGTGGACTGTGAAAAATAGAATAGGACAGTAAATTGGAAAATCAGGTGAGTAGGAAATGTAAAAAAGAATGTGACTGAGAAAGAATGAAGGGTTGGTGTTTGGGGATAGAAGGACAGATAGGACCAAGGTCTATGGACCAGGGTTTGTGGATTTGTAGACTGTCAGTAGTGTTCTCATCAGGGCTGGAAGTGAAGAGTCAAGATGAATTCAAGAAGTCGTGGGACAAGAGGATTGAAAGGAGCAGGTCAGGAGTGGCTAACTGAACTTCCCCAGAGTAACAAAGAGGGCTGACGGCCAACTCAGTAGGTGGAGAACTGGGCAGGGAGTCACTGAGCGCAGAGAGCCCACAGGATGGGGAGAGGGCAAGTCAGAGTGGTGAGAGGAACAGTGAGGAGCAACCAGGAGGAACTCAGTGAGGGGAATTGCCAAGAAGTGGTAAAACTCTCTGTAGGCTTGAATAAAACTCCCCAGCAGAGCTGCTGAAGCTGTCTATCATGTGCCCACTGTTAGCCCACTCAAGCGTGAAGATCTGTGTGTTAGTTTAAATCACTCTTACGATGTTCTAAGTCATTGTTGCTTTGCCACCAGCATGCGCCTTGACGTGGCTCAGCTCAGTGTGTTGAGATCTGGTCATTTGATCTCTTGCAGTGAGTCTGAGGAAGGGTGGAGCAAAATCACTTCTTGCATCTGGTGATGTCCGGTGGCACTGGCACATCTCTGGGTGACAGTTCCTCAACGGGCCTGAGCTTGAGTCTGTAATGTTTGCTCTGCATTAGACGCCCTTTGGGTTTAGGAAATGCAAGTCTCTGAGAGCCGGGCAGCCATGACCACGTAACACCAAGTCGGGTGTGAGGGAAGCACTAATCCCATGTGTAATTGCTTGGCAGGAGGAGCTGCTGTGGTTTCCCCATAAACTGTTTGTGCCCAGGGAAGCCAGCAGTCTTGAGTCGTGCACCAGCAGCTGGTCATGCCCTGTGGTCTGCTCCTCCTGCTGCTCTTGTTCAGGCTCTGCTCTCAGGCTCCGGGCTCTCCGGGCATCCTGGTGTTTGTGAGGTCGTGTCAGAGGGCAACACTTTGTAGAAACAAAAGTGTTTCAAACAGCTGGGAAACCCATGGTTCTTAAAAGCTGCCTCTTGTTTGAAAGCAGTCTTGGTCCCAGCATCCCCTTTGCCCTCAGCCACTGCCTGTCCCTCCACCTGGCGGTGTGGGGCTCCTGCAGGCAGGGCGCTGGCGTGTGGGCAGCCTGACCAGCACCGCATTGAGTTACAGTCAGGCCCCCACAGGAATGCAGGGCCCTGCCAGTGTGACCCGTTCAGATATCCCAACCAACAGCAGGAGCCACTGGCTGTCTTTAAACCAGATAGGTCAAGTTAATGTCACAGCGCAGCTTTGCCAGAAGGAAGGCTGGAGTGCAGTATGGGGGGGAGAGCTGGGTTTGCTTTTCCTGTTTGTCCTGTATTTTTCCATTCCTTTGTTCAGCCGCTCCTTCCCACAGATCAGCACTGACCTGTTGGGAAGGCACCAGGTTTGGGATGCTGGAGGGCAATGCTGAAGCCCTGGTGGGCCAACCTTTCCCTGGGTTGCTCAGATGGCTTCTGGGAGCTGTTTGAAGCCCCTGGCTGCTACAGCGTGAGCCACCAAATAAAGAGACCTCTCAATTCAGAAAAGCCTGAGCAGCAGCAGTTTGACTGTGCACCCAGCAAGACTCTTCTCAGCCTAAAGATCAGGTCCTGATCAAGCTGCTCGCACCTGCTATGCAAGTAAGGAACGTGATTCCTTGCACCAGCTCCCTGCATGGAAACTTAGTAAGCCACAGCTGTGCTTGGAGACAAGAGAAGCAGATTTAGGAGCGGAGTGCAGAGATTTATTTTACAAGCATATGAGGAGTGACCCCAAAGGGCGCCCGCCTGTGAGCTGACCCGAAATGCAAACCCGCTGTTCACAGCATCAGCAGGCAGGCGCTGGGCTCGCAGCTGATCCACTGTAATCCATAGGCTCTAGGGAAACAATCTAACACGTCCTTATCATTAAATACTCGTGTGAGAGCTCAGGAGTCACTTGTATCCCTGCTTCTGGTTTGTAGCTGCAGCAGGGTTTCGCTGGCAGCACTCAGTACTGTTTGTTGAGAGAGAGCAAAGCGTGGCAGCTGGCTGCAGCTCTGCATGTTTGTGCCTCCCTAGCTCTGACACAGCCCTCTTCCTTAAGTCACGTTCATTTCCAAGCTGCCATAAGCAGGATGAGTGCAGAACATGCAAGGCACGGTCGAGAGCCCGGAAGATATTTTGGGGTTGGTTAAAAGGGGATTTCTGTATTCAGCTGCTCTGTGCCCAAGAGCAGCTGTGGCAAGGGGCTGTCAGCAGCAGAGGGCACTGACGGTGACAGCAGCCTGTGGCTGACGGGTACAGGACCAAAAATGATACTTGCATGTCAAGTAAAGCAACTTAGAGTTGTGTTCTTTTCTCCCTGTGATGGTAAAGGAAGGGATTCTTTGTTCTGATCTTTTGAAGTCAGTGGAATGGTTTCCTTTATTATCCCAAACTACAAAGCCACAAATGCTCCACCTGGGGATCAGTGTCTGTTTCCACTAAGAAACTCTGTGAGACTTCAACTGCCATTTCGCCTCATTTCTTTTCCTGGTTCATCTTTTTCTCTGCTGTGGTTGCTGAGTTTGTTCATCGTTGTTCCTCCTTGTGCATGTCAGCCACACCAGTGATGTCTTCTGGAAAGACGAGCAGTGGCCATTCTTTGCTCTTTCACCCAAACTCTGGAGCATGCAGTGCCAATTTTCAGGTCTCTGAATGTTGCTTTTTTAAGGAAAAGAAGTCCTGAGAAGGACTTTGCTCTGGACATGGTTGCACAGCAGCAGAACTGAAGGACTCACGCCGGATGGGATGGTGACCACTTTGCTGGGTGGAGCAGCTGAAGGCAGCCGAGAGCAGGAGGGCTCCAGCTCTGCTCCTGTGATGCCCGTGGTCTTAATCGTAGCGATGGTGGAAAGCCCCAGGGCTTCCTGCTCTTCTCTCAGAGCAAAGGGTCAGGTCAAGGAGGCACCCACCTGAGGTTGTTATTCTTTTTTGTTTGTTTTGTTTTGTTTCTGAACAGGAGAGAACCACTCCTCCTGGAAGCACTGAGAATATTGTGGAAGAGATTGGTGAGTTGGGCCAAACTCTAAGATTGTGCTTTTGCCACTTCAACCAGAAGTGATGGGGTGAAACACTCCTGGCTTTGCCCTCTCGTGCATGAACATCTGTACTTCCAGCCAGCTGTTCAGATTCCTTCCTCGTTAGCACTCAGTGCTGTGCAGTATCTGCTAGGCACAAGGGGTGTTGTTGATTTCAAAACCAAACTTTATCTTGTCCCCTTACAAAGCAACCCTTCCTTCACATGGAAGCAGTGAGACCACAAGTTGAGACTTCAGTGGGCAGGGCTGGTCAAATGAAGGAGAGCTGCACCAGGCTGGGTTGTGTGGGGTTCATGCTTATCTCAGCCCTTCAACCACCAGCAGATTCCCAACCAGCCCTCAAAATCATGTAGTCAACAACTGCTTTTGGTGGCAGCTCCTGGAAGCTTTAGATGTTTTGCTACTATCACCCACAAAACTATTTTTTTTTTTAACAACGTGAAATAATTAAATCTATGTTTTGTTTTAGAGGAAATCTTCTGTTGCTGAAAGAAAAGCATTTATCAGTAACGAGATAATCTTAGTTCAGATGCTGTTCTTGTGAGGAAAATATTTAAACCTTTTCACCTCCAAACCTACTTTGGCCTCCCTACTTCCCCATGGGTTTGGTTGTTCCCCCTTTAGCTTTAGTGGGAAAACACAGTGGGTGATTCCCACTGGACCCGTGCACTTGGCATCCCATCTGAGGGTGTTCTAGATAGATGCAGTCACTTGGAATACCAGCATTACCTGTTCAACTATATAAATACTCATGTGAGTATACTAGTCCTATCATGAGCATCCTTGCAAATTCTTGCCTTTGGTCTGCAGCACCTCTAATGGATCTTCATGTCCCAAGGAGCCACTCACCAAAGGCTTACTGCAAAACCAGCTCTCAGACCAGCTGGGCCATGTGTTGGATGTTTGACTAGCACTCCAGCAATTTAGAATTGTGTGTATTAAAAGGAAGGAAGTCCTCATAATTTCAATTTCCTCTGCTTTATCACACACAGGTAAAGCCACTTCACTCGCTTCCTTCCTCTTTTTGTAAACTCTACAGATCTGTGTTTGGAAACCTCAGCTTATTTTTATGCTAACTGCACACACATTTAACATAATAACTGTGTGTGCACCGTTCGACAATGGTGAAATGTGTGTGCAGCACACAGAGCACAGGCACAGATTGTCAGTTCACCAGCAGGTAAGGAAGAGACCAAACAGCAACGCACTGATGGCAGCTCTCCAAAAGGGACCCATTTCTGGCCATTCTGTTTTGTGCTCTTCTATGCTGCCTGAACCAATGTGAGAAACAGAGCAGGTGAGGCACATCCTAGGAAAGCAGGAAAGACAGATTCATGTACTGAGGGTGTGCTGCACTTGTCAGGCCTGCTGTTAGCCAGCATGGAGGAGAAGGGAGGCCAATGAAATGGCCACCGAGCCGTTTGGTGACCGTTCCTCTGTATGCACATAAGGACAGCGAGCGTGCTGGAAGCCAATGGCTCCCTAATTCTGCCTGTGTGGGGCCGAGTAAATCACAGCTGCAGAAGCCCCTCCTGGTTCTTGGAGAGTGCGTGCGCTGTGGTCTCCCTGTGCTGTGCAGCGGTTGCGATTTCAGGAGGTCAGTGTGCTGGGTTTCCAAACATACTGGAAAATCATAATCAGGCTGGAGAGGATAGAGGTATTTTCAGCGAAGGAAAGGGGGCAGTACAGTGTTTACGTGGGATGCGGCACTTGGGCAGCCATTCCTAACCTCCTTAGCCCCACCAGCAACTGTTGCCACAGAAACTTCTGCAGGGCCTGCTGAAGACTTCAAGGAGCTTATCAACAGAGCTGTCTCTCTCTTTGTCCTGCTTCCAGAACAAGCGGTTCAGGAGACTGTAGACACAGATTTCTATGTGAGGAGAAGACAGCACCCGTCTGCTTCCAGGAGATACCGTGAGGGTCACTGGTAAACACAGCTCTCCGTGGGTACCCTTGTTTTGGCTGTAGCTCTCCTTGCAACCTCCCTCTTTTGTTTTCTTGCTCTCCTGGGCTCCATTTATGCTAAGCTCAGATGTGTCCTTAAGCGGTCGGGGGGAGAGGAGAGCTGCTGGCACCTCCCAGTAGTGTTGGTGGCCCCGTGGGAAGGCGTTTGGTGGCCCTGGGGCTGGGGGCTGCTGCAGGAGGCAAGAGGAGCTGCAGGAGTGGGTGAGGGAAGGGTGAGAATGGGGGATGTGGAGGAACACAAAATAATCCCGTGATGTTTCTCCTCCTCTGATGTGTGGCAGAAGCTCGGGTCATCCAGGAGGAGGAGGACTGGAGAGCAGGTGGCATCATTTTCTTCCTTGATGTGGGCCAGTGAAGAAAGGTTTTCATGAGTGACCTGAATTGCTTGACATGTCAGCAAGGGTTTCCATCACTCACTCTGTGTCCTGTCTGGGGAAATGCAGTGGAAATGGAGAGGTCTTTCCCAATGAAATGCCTTTGGGTGGCAGCTGAGCCCCTGATGGCACCCAGCATCCAGCCAGCATCCTGTTGGGCTGCAATGGCCATGCAAGGCGCTGCACTTGGTCTGCCTTGTCTGAGCTGTCTTCCATTGCTGTGCAGACGTGCTGGGAATTGTGCTGTGGGTATGAAGAGGAAAGGCTTCATTAGTATGGCAGAGCCACTGCATGCAGGTTCATCCCTCAGAATCCACCAGGCTGACGGACTAGGGCTGAGGAGATTGAGAGTGGGCTCAGCCTGAAGTTTGCCGTGACCCAGGTGACAGGAAGGGGAGAAACTGCACCTATGGAGGCCCCAAGTGTGCTCTCACAGCCAGGCAGCTGTCTGTCCAGTTTCCTGGCCACTTTGGGAAAAGTAGGAGAGCAGTGTGGGTATAGAGTTTGTGCAAACAAGAGAAGAGTGTGCCTACCGTGTGCTGTTCAGCTACTAAAAAGCACCTGCTTGGGATTCTTTTTCCTTCACTGTTTCATTGCTCAGTATTTAGATGCGCTCAGAGAACACTTCTGTAATCTGCAGCTTGGGGGGCCTGGTTTCACACAGCCACGCTGCATCGTCGTGCTTCTGTCTGACGTGGTGCACAGATGGATGCGTGTGCATACAGACACACGTGGCTGTGTGTTCTTCTAGAGCATCCTTGCTCAATTCCTCCTGCTTTAGCACACGTGAATCGATTGTTCGGGTTTCATGAACTAGATGCAGCTGCAGGTGGTTTACATACGCATGCTTATGGTTAGGTACGCCCTCCCAGCGATGTGTGTGGTGCACTATCTGTATGCTATATATCATATCATGTACAGCACGTGTGTATGGGGTGCATGTGCAATGATAGTTTAACCTTGTTTTTGCTCTGCAAGGTAAGCCATCCCAAATCCTCTGTTGGGGCAATTTAGAGCTGACACAGAGCCCCTGAGCATCAGGTTATCTTGACAGCTGAAGTAACCTTCCTTAGGCATGCCAAGTATCTGCCAGTTTATAATTAGAGCCCTTTCCTTGGCAGCTGCACCAGTGCAACGTCAGCTCAGAGAGAGGTGGGGAGAGTGGAGAAGGGCTCTTGGTGCATCCCAGCACACTGCAGAAAGGGCATTCAGAGAGCCCATCTCACAGGAGGCAGCGAGCTGGGAAGAGGACATCCCTTTCCATCAGGGCTGCTGAAAGCAAGAATTTCTCATGCTCTCAGAGCCAAGGGTTTAAAGTGTGCTTTGACCACCTTTGCAAATGCCTGGACAAACAGCCTCAGCTTTTCATAGCTGAAATGCTCTTCAAGAATGGGCAGCAGGACCCTGCATGCTGGAAGGGCCTTTGACAATCTGATCTGCTGTGGTTGCTGGTTTTCTCATCTGCACTGTCACAGCTCAGCCCTGGTCTTATTTCATTCTGGTGTTAAGTCCAGCTTGGGACACAGAAGCCATTTGGGTTTTACACCCTTGCAAATAAGATGAGAGCTCAGGCTGGAGCTGTCAGTGTACAAAAAGCTCTGCACCCAGGCAGGCAAAGAGCAGCCTGGTGGGGCTGGTTCTCCTCTCTCCCCTTCCCATTCCCAGTATGGCAGTCGGGGCAGAGCACTATCCCAGCCAAGCAGTGGGATACTGCCAGCAGGTTCTCACTTTGCTCCCCATGATTTCAGCTGCCATGTCCTTTGGCCATGAGATACATCAGTAGCTCTCACCTGCAATCTCTGGGCTGAGGACCAGTGCTCTGCCTAGCAAGTGTCCTCCCTGCAAAGGTGATGCCACTGGTTTGTTTCTGCTTTAGCTTCAGGATGCAATTGTCTTCCCCTCAGTAATTGCCTGCATATTTTTGTTCTGTTCCTTTCCTGCAGGCCTGAAACAGCCAGCAAGCCTGAGACCGACAGCACTTAGAGCAGTTGCTGGTACGTGTCCCTTCCCTCAGTGCCCATTGCATACAGCTCCATCGTGGCGTTAGGTGGCCACAGCTTGCAATGCCCCTCTGCTGTGGTCGTTACACGTGGCTGTCCTGTTAAACCCTGTGTCCATGGACAGAGAATCAGACGGTCTCTGCAGAAGGCCACCTCTCCTCCCGACTTCCTCTGTCCATGCCCAGGGAGCCCCTGGGCAGCACTGCAGTGTGGGAGGGTTGGGCTGGTGTCCTGAGCTCAGCCTGCGCTTCCTATAACATCCCCAGCAGGCTTGGGGTCCCAATGCTTCTTCCTGGCCTGCATGCCATTGCCTCCACACCTGGATGCTTAGGGGAGGAGGATAGAGAGAGATCCCATCTCCTTTCTGTCTGCATTGCCCTACCACTGCAAGGCTCCTGCCTCGGTCTCGTGGTCTCTGTGTTTTCCATGCGTACCTTGTTACCAGTCTGAGAAGATCTATGCTCTGCTAGGATACAGCCTGAGCCTGTCTGAGCAAAACAGAGCTGGTAGAGGTGTTGCTGGCTGCAGAACTTTGCAGAGCCACCTGAACAAGCTGCCCGCTCACCTGAATTAGCTGCAGTTGCATTTACTCAGTGCCCAGAGAAATCCCAGGACCCATCAAGGAGCTGAGAGATGGTGAAAACTCCCATTTGTCAGGAGGATCAGAAATCCAGAAATGGAAATACACCTCTATAGCCATTACTGTCATCTGCCTTGAAGTGAATCTAGCCCTGTAGTAGGGGTTTGCTCCTGGGGAGCAGTTTAGGTGCCCACCAGTAGTGTCTGGTCCCATTGGAGCTACCCTTGGGATCTCCCCGGCTTCCTGCTGTCATTCCCAGAAGGCAGATCTTCTGTAAGCCCCAAGTTACAGCTCTCACACCTTGCAGAGCTTTGAGCTCATAGAATCTCTGGTGAAACTGGACACCTGTGCTTAAATACCTGAATTGCGTCCTGATTTCATCGTGTTTCCCAAATAAGTTTACATCTGATGTTTACCCTGCGTGGTGTAGGAAAAGGAACTGCCCCTCCTCTGTCCTCGTGGAGATCTCAGCAGTCTGCTGCTGGGAAAAGACTGGGAAAAGAAAGGGAAGGGAGAGGAGGAAGCAGAGCCCACCATCAGCACCAGCCTTGCTGCGTTTGCCTTCTGACCAGGTCACGGTCCACCAGCGCTTACTCCTACTCCTGCAGTCTCTGTGTGCTTCCCACTCCTGCAGCCTCTGTCTTTGGGGACCAACTGAAGCCCAGCCTCACTCCCTCTCCTTCTGTTCCCCAACAGCTCCGGCTTCCATGGCGTGTGGTGGCAGCTTGCAGAACTTAGCGGCATTGCAGCCTTCCTGGAGGAGACCTGGAATGAACCAAGGGGTTTGGGGGGGGGGGGGGGGACAGGGCATCTTTATGGCATACCCGGGTGAGGGGAGGAGGAACATTCAACATTGCAGTTCTACTTTAGGTAGGGCAAAGAGCTTTCCCTGTGCTGAGGCCAGGTCAGGTGCATTTGCTGTTTCTTGAGAAATAAACACTCCTTATTTGTCTTATTTGTAAAGCTGCAGTGTTGATCCAATCAGAAATTTACTGGCAGCATCCCACACAGCTGCTGGGGTTGGCAGGCATCACTCTGCACCAAGAGAAAAAAGCAATGCCTAAAAACAGAAGGCAAAATCTCAAGAAGCACCAAATGATTTGGCCTGGCCAGTTTCTTTTTGAGTTAGGCATTGCAGTAAGTGCCTGTTTCAGGTACCTTGCAGAATGCAAAGCTGTTCGGTGACCTGAGAACATCGATAGCTGATAGCTGCCTGGCTTGACCCTTCTGGCTGAACTGAGATGGGGTTTGCACACACACTGCTGACACTGGGGGCTGGCAGTGCTTAGCTCCATCAGGGGATTCGAGGCAGAAGCTGTTGCCTGCTGTTTCGGTTCAATATCTGCAAGTTGAGAGAGGAGCCAGGGAGTGCTGGGGCTGGACACTGGAGGGTTTTCCATCTCCAAAGCCCTTTCCCATATGGCAGCACTTGAAAGTCAGAGGAGTTAGATGTGACCAGTGACATTGGTGACAGAGGCTCAGTGGGGAAGAAGAGTAAACAGTAGGTAGAAATGCACTGGGTGCTGATCCATCATCTACTAACCCACTAAACCCCATCCAACAGATTTTCAGTCCGTTCTTTGCAATGTAAAGGCTGCCCCGAAGGCCTTGCAGTGCTCTCTCATCTGCTGTGAGCACTTTACATCCTTGTGCTACAGTCCCTGTGATATCACGTGGGATGCACAGTACCAATCAATTTAATCTGCCAGGAAAAAAAGAAAAAACACCTCTACAGATCTCTCAATTCACAGCAATTCCAGCCAGCAATGGGGGAAGGAAAAAAGCTGAAGTGGATAAACAGTGGGGATTTCCTCAGGATTTCATCTAGAATGGTTGCAGGCGAGCAACACAGAGGTGCTGAAAACAGCCTCCAAGCAGACAGTGGCTGCCAGGGTCATCCTGTGTGTGGTGCTGCCCTTCCAGGCAGGATCCTGGCAGCACACAAAGCCTGCAGCTCCTGTAGCTCTGCCCCAGCTCCCCCGCAGTCTTCCTAAGCCCTGACATCTAATCCTAAGGGTGGGGAGCGTGTCCTTGTTGGGGGCTGTGAACTCCTGCCTGAACACTTCACCTTGCCCCTCAGATGGGCTCCTCACTCGAGCAGCAAATGCCTGACATCTCTCAGCCTACAAGGGACAGGCCAGCGGCTCTGAAAGCGCTTTGCTGGAAGCAGTGCAGAGGTCTCCAGCTTCAGGAGGGCAGTGCGTGTTAGACTTGCTTGCAGCAGTAACCTTAGAGGCAGCACATGCAGCAGCCTGCACTGTAGAAGTAGCAGTGAAATGGAAAGGTCCTGTGAACACAGGGAGGAGCTCAGAGGTGCCTCTGTTGCAGCAGCAGAGCAGTGCTGCTCCGCACATACACGGCCAGGCACGGCTCACCACAGCTGGGTGCTGGCACAGGCTGGGGGTGGCCCACAACCTCGTGCCTCCCACAGCTGTCCAGGCACCAGCAGCTGGGTGCAGGCTGCCCTCGTTTCAGGGTGCTTGGAAGCCTCCCCAAGGCAGCCTCCAGCAGCACATGTGTCTGTATGCACAGCAGAGTCAGCCCGTTCCTCGTACGAACCACGAGCCATCAGAGCAAAACCAATAAACACTGAGCTCTTAGTGCCTCCTGCCTGCTGGAACTGCTGACCTGAGCCTCGCTGCCCCTCTCTGTTCTTCACCTCCCCACATCCCCTCCCCACTCAGTCCACGTGTCTGGTGGCACATCGGCCACATCCGCCTGGCCACACAGCCTTGTCTGGGCACAGTGCCTGCATGTCACCAGCGGGACGTGATGCAGCAGTGAGCACCCCCTGCTGAACACCCACTCACTGTCACCTCAGCCCCATGCTGGCTCCAAGCACATCCTTGCTACTCCCCAGGCCCGCTGGCGCGCATCCTGCAGCCAAGGCACAACAGCTGAGCTCGCTCCAACACCAAAGGACTCCACTGGAAGGCTGCAGCCTGCTCTGCCCCCAGAGGGAGCCCCCCACTGAGATTGGACCCCCCCCCACGGCAGTGAGAGCTCAAAGCTTTCCTCCTCATGCTGTGGCCCAGAGCTGCTGGCTCACATCCCCGCAACACAGACACAAAGAGAATGCGAGCATCAGCAACAGGGCCCAAGAACATCAGACATGAGTGGGACATGAACAGGAGGCCCAACCTGGTTCTGCCCCACTGCCCTGGGCTCACTGCCTCACACTGTCCTTGCAGTGGGCCTGCCATGTTTTTTGCCTCCCCAGAGCTGTGGGTTCAGTGGGAAAGACCCACAAGGGGCAGCAGGAGCTTTCTGTGTGCCCGAGCACCAGCAGAGTGCTCAGGGGTGTGAGGGGACATGGAGCAGGCTGGGACCACATGGGGGACACCAGGAGCTGTGGCCACCTCAGGCCAGAAAGGACTGAGTTGGGTTCCCTTGGGAAAGGGATTTTCCCCTCCCAACAGTTCTACACCACCCTTTGTGCGTCAGAAGCCCTGTGATTGCATAAACACAGTGCTTCCAAAAATCACAGAACTGCAGAATCACAGGGGTTGGAAGGGACCTCAAGAGATCATTGAGCCCAGCAGCCCTGCTAAAGCAGGTTCCCTACAGTAGGTCCAGCACTCCACCACCTTTACCATAAATAATTTCTTCCGGATGTTAACACAGAACTGCCTGTGTTCAAGTTTTAGGCCATTGCTCCTTGTCCTATTGCTACACACCACTGAGAAGAACCTCATCCATTTGCCTCACATCTCCCTTTAGATATTTATACACATGAATCAGATCCCCTCTCAGTCTTCTTTTCCCCAGGCTGAACAGAGCCGACTTACTCAGCCTTTCCTCATCAGGGAAGCGTTCCACGCCCCTCACCATCTTTGTGGCCCTGTCTTTAATGGTAAAAATGAGCAAACCCTGTCAGGAAGAACACAGGCTCACAGGACAGTCAGTTGCAATGCCTGCAGGCCAGGGCAACTGTGACACTGCAGAGCTCAGCTCAGTGCTCATCCCTGCATGGCATGCCCCAGTGCCAGACACCATCGCTCCAGCGGCCGTGAGATGCAGCACCCCGCGCTCTCACTCCCTGTGGGCTGCCCCGCACTGCCAGGAGCACGCCGGGCTCAGCCTCTTCCCAGAACAACTGCAGCCCTTCTGGCAGAGCTTCCCCCTCCTGCTGGAGCCCTGGTTTCCAGTTACAAGAAGGAGGAAAGCACCGAAAACAGCAGGCTGCTGAGTCACCAGCAGGAACTCACATCTGGCTGGCAGCAGGAGCAGCACTCCAACAGCCGGGTGCTCAGTTAGCCTAGAGTGGGCCGGCCTGCTCCCAGCAGCTCTGAGCCCCCCATGCTCTGCAGGCTGACCCACAGACAGCAGCTCCAAGAAACCCATGCTCTGCAGCGGGGCCAAACCAGTGGAGAGGTCGGCACAGGGGCCTGGCAACCCCACAGCAGGCCTGGGGGAGCAGGGCACCAGATCGGTGGGAGGAGGGTCAGGAAGCCCCTCACCAGGGAGGGGGAACCCAGCGCCACCTGAGGGGCTACAGGCCGGGCTGGGTGCTGTGGCACAGACGTGGCATCGGGGTGCAAGGGCTCACGGAGGTCCCACGGGAACCCTGTGCCATGGCCACCAGTGCTGGCTGCGCACAGCCACGCGGCACTGCCCGAGAGCCCTCCAAATCCTGGTTCCAATGCTGAGCCGTGCGAGGAGCGACGCACAGAGCTCCGGTGGGGCTGCGAGTCCCAGCGTGGAGAGGCAGGCGCACAGCAGACAAACATCCGTCCGTCTGTCCCTCGCCTTAGGAGAAGGAGCTCTTGGGACACGTATGTGGGGACACGGAGCTCGTGGAGCTCTAAGGCGGGTTTTTTCCGCCGGGGCCGCGTGAGGTGACACCCTTGTTCAGAGGGACATCGCCCGTCGGAGCCGCTCCGGGCCGCAGCGCAGCCGCCCCGCCCCCCGGTGCTGCCCCGATGGCGGCGGCGGTGCGTCCGGGCAGCCAGCGGCGGTGAGTGCGGGGACGGCTCGGGGTTGTGCGGGGCTGTGCGGGGCCCCACGGCCTCATCTCTGTCCCTGTCACCCTGCGGTGGCCGCACCAGCATGGCTGCGAAGCGAGGACGAGGCAAAGCCGCCTCGCGGAGCTGAAGGGAGCTGTGCCGGCTCTGCTGCCCCGCAGACTGTCCGTCCGGCTCCGCGTCGCTTGTTGCTTGCTGTGGTTTCTTGTGGCTTTCCTTCCATCTGCGTGCAGCTCCGAGCCGGAGCTCCCCCTTCTTTCTCTGTCCTTTAAGTGAAATGGGGAGAGAACATGGAAATGGGGCACCTGTGGGAACGGGCTGAGGGGAGAGGTGAGTTCAGCTTCCATCTCTTTGGATGCTGGGAAGCACCGAGTCTGCCGGTGGGTGCTAACGGGGGTTTGCAGAGACCCGTGCCTGGAGTGGGAAAAGAGACCACCGTCCCTAGTAAATTCCCACGGAGACAGCTATTAGCAGTGACATCAGTGTTAAAGCTCAGGGCTGTGAAGCCTGAGATGGCTTTGTCCCACTGCAGCCACTGCAGTGAATCTTGACAAACCTCTGAAGAAAGAGAAGGGAAAATTCGAGATGCCCACACATGCAGGGCTTTTAAACCATTAAATTGCACTGCTGTGTTTCTGTGTTTCCTAACTAGATTTTGTCTTTTCTTCCCCCTTCCCCTGCCCCCACCCCGTGCCTTTTTAAGGAGCTGAGCTGGGAAATCCTTGTTCAAACCATCCTCTTCTCAGTTGTATTTTTGTGGGACCGCTGCTTTGCTCACTCCCTGGAGAAGTGCCTCTTGCATCCAGGGCTCTCATCCTGGTGCCCTGTGGTGGCCCATCAGCAGCGTCCCTCTGTGCTGCTCTGGCTGTCAGAAGGACAGTTTTCTCCTCTAGGTCAGCACTGAAGCAAATCCCGGCTATCATCATGGGAGCTGTCTGGCTGGTTGGACTGATGGGGCTTATGTACATCTGGTTTCCCAAAGTTTCTGCCCAGAGTCCCATAAAAAGCCCCAGGGACCAGAAAACAGAGCACACCCTCTTGATCAATGAAATCAACGCTGACACCCCAGGAGAGGACACTTCTGAGTTTGTGGAGCTCTATCACACCAGTGGTCAAACAGCCCCTTTGGATGGCTACTACCTGGTTTTCTACAATGGCAATGGAAACCAAGCCTACAAAGTTCTGAACCTCCAAGGCAAGGCTACTAACAGCCGAGGGTTCTTCCTTGTTGGCTCTGCCTCTGTGAAGCCAGCAATAGTTATTCCTAAGAACACCATCCAGAACGGCCCTGACGCCATCGCTGTGTATTATGGAAAAGGGAGCTACAAGGAAGGCATGAGCGTCACAGGTAAAGGACTGGTGGATGCCTTGGTGCATAAGACGAAGAAGACAGACAGAGCAGATACGCTGCTGGGGGTGCTGACCCCCGGCAGAGATGCTTTGCTGGAGGACTCCACCTTCAGGTCTATGGACGAGTCAATCGAAAGGTGCCTTGGGGCGGACGCTCAGTGGTTCTTCCAGGTGGCCGTGCCGAGCCCAGGCACAGATAACCACTGCGTCCTCACTCCTCAGCTGAACGCATCCGCCGTCCTGATCAGTGAGGTCCACGTTGCCTCTTCTTTGGAAGATTCTGAGTTCATCGAGCTCCAGGGTCCCCACTCCACCGTGCTGAGGGACGTCGTCCTGGTGCTGATTGATGGTCGGACCAAAGACATTTATTTCACTATGGATGTTTATGGCAAGACTTCATTGGATGGGCTTCTCCTGATTGGCCCGGCACAAAGTGAAATCTCGGGTAAGGGCTGCACGTTGCTGGCTGCACGGAGCCGGGGGAGCTGTCTGCTGAGTCTGGGGTTGGAGGATGCTGTCTCTTTTTATGGTGGTTTGGCGTTGTGATGGATGAATGTGAGAATTCCAACTTGGTACTTGGTGATGGATAAAAGAGCTAATGAAAGGGAAAGGAGCTGCATAAAGCAAGTAAAATATTGGCAATTATTAAAAAAGAGAAAAAATTATTAAAAAAGAGAAAAAAAATGAGGAGATATCTCAGGCTGCTCAAAGAGGCTGTGATGCCCCATCCATCCCTGGAAGTGTTCAAGGCTGGGTTGGATGGGGCCCTGGGCAGCCTGGAGATTCGTGATCCTTGAGGTCCCTTCCAACCCTGGCCATTCTGTGATTCTGTGATTTGATACTACTGTGTAAATCCATTACTTGCTGGTATCTTGTATGGTGCAGTGTCCTGAACTCATAAAGGATATATTAGGATGGGAGAGATTCAGAGAAGGTCGGGAAGGATGGCCAGTGTGGGGCCCTGCTCAGAAGCAGAGGCTGTGCTCTCACCACACTCTCAGCACAGTTCCCACTTGTCCCTTCCCCTCAGTGCTCCCAGGCCACCGGAGGAGGAGGTGGAGGAAACGTCTCATTATTTTGGGTGCTCAAAAAAGAGATGTTGCAGCTGGGGATGCTGCCTCTGCAGATGCCTTGTGCAATTCTCTGACTCACCATTTGTGAGTCACGGCGTGCGTTCGTCACTCACAGATCTGGTTCCCACTTGCAATTCATGAAAGCTGAAGAACTGGGCTGTGTTGGAGTCAGCAGATGGGACAGTCCACAAAGCTGAGCAAAGCTCAGGCGAGTGCTGTGCAGGAAGGGGCAAGCTGCAGCAACTGAGGTGTGTCCTCATGATGGCAGCCCCACAATGTGTTGGTGCCCAGCCATCACAGAGCTGCATCAAGGGAGGGTTGGAGGTTGGTAGGGAAGGGTGCTGCACCTTGCTGTGCTCAGCAGCTCTCACTGGCTGGCAGAGAAGTGGCTGGGGGAAAAGGGAACACCACGCACAGGGAAGGAAATAGGGAAACCCCACCAAACTGCAGCCTTAATTCTATCTGCTGGAATCCTGGACTCTTGCTGAGTATCTGTATTCATGCAGAGAATGTGTGTTTGTGAATAACAAGGATTGTTAGTGAAATGCTAGAACAAAGTACTGCTATTTTAAAATATTTTTTGTGTATTGTCAGAATAACTGCTGCCGTAAATCTTAGTTCATTTTGCAGGCATCTTTTTTGAATTAAAAATGAGCATCTGCACCTGTTTTCCTGCTTCCCTGCTTCTGCCTGAAACAGCTTCACAGTCTGCAGCACCTGCAGAACAAGTGCTGCTCAGGATGCCCCTCTGCCCTCCTGCAGCCTGTGGAGCTGCCCATGAACAGGGAAATCTGGGCTATGAGAGTGGGAAATGTCAGGGAGCAGAAAGGTGTTGAGTATCCCACTTGTTTTCTGTGTTACTGTATCTGGAGCCATGCTAGTTTCCTGTACAGGGGGAATTGCTCATGCCTGGCTTGTGCAGCATGGTTTTTGGGGTGTCATTCTCGTATGTCTGACATGCTGTCCTTGTTCTTTTCCTTGCTGGTGTGCAGTGGACTTGGCATTCCCAGAGAACTCCACTCATCCTGTCCTCAGGGATGGCCCCAATGCCATTGCTCTCTACAGAGGCAACAGCAGCAGCTTTGCTCCAGGGAAAGCAGTGACAACAGCTGGCCTGCTGGATGCTTTCGTCTATACGAGCACTGAGGGACCGAGCCCTGAGCTGCTGGACACCCTGACACCAGGCAGACCTGCCTATAGGAGCGTGAGGTGAGAGAGAGCTTGCTGTCACAGCATTCCTTGGTGCCTGGGGTCATCCCTGCCCACGTCTTCAGCCCTCCTGAGAGCAGCCCTGACTGCCAGGAGGTTGAGGCCACCTGGGAGGTCGGGGTGTGGGTACATCTGTCTCCAGTTGGGTCCCTGCTGCCCTGTGCAAATGAGAGCTGATGGCACCTTGGGTCATCTCACATCCCACCTGAGGTGGTGGGTTCTTGGCATCTCCATTCAGGCCCTTCTAGTACTTGAATGGAGCTTATGAACAGGAGGGGAATTGACTTCTTACACAGTCTGATAGTGACAGGACGAGGGGGAATGGCTTTAAACCAAAAGAGGGGCAAATTAGGTGAAATGTTAGGGGAAAATTCTTCACTCAGAGGGCAATGAGGTGCTGGCATAGGCTGTCCAGAGAGGTTGTGGATGCCCCATCCCTGGAGGCATTCAACCCAGGTTGGACGAGGCCCTGTGCAGTCTGATCTGGAGGTTGGCAGCCCTGTCCACAGCAGGGGGTTGGGACTAGATGAGGTCCCTTCCAACCTAAGCCATTCTGTGATTCTATTTGATTCTGTGAGTTTCTGGGTGGGCATGAGAAAAGCCTGCCTGAGACCGCAGTAGTCAACTGTATCAGGAAAGAGTGTGGTCCACTCACTCCTGTGGCAGTCATCACTTAATCACAGCACATTCCTATTCCTTCCTTTGCACATGTTCTTCCCACTTGTCAAATAAACCTGCACTTGTCCCATAAGGAGGTTATAGCCTTCCCCGAGGAGCTCTGTTCTATGCAGCTCCTCATAGTGGGGCTTCTTCCCCTTTCCTTTGAGCTGAGCTCCTGCCTAATCATTTCACCCACAAGTGTTGCATTTCCAGTTTCCCTATTGTACCCTACTGCCTTCCCAGTGCTCACAGCCTGAGCATGAGTGCCTCTATACTAACTTATTTGTGTTCAGATCAGGCAAAAAATGAGTTGCCAGAAGATAAAAGGAGGCCCATGCTCTTCTCTTTTTAAGGCTTAGGGATGTCTTGGGCTCCATTTTTAGACAAGGAGGTGCTGATGAGGGTGGGATGACTCTCCAGACCCCAAGAAGGGAGAAGACTTTACTCTCTGGTGAGAATTTTCCCCCTCTGGTGCAGGCAGGTGTGAGTGGTGGGTGATGAGCAGACCGGTCTCTGGCTGGCAGGTTGTGTTCTGTCTCATTCTCACATCTGTATCTTTCAGGCACCAGCTTGGAGATGTGTCCATGAGCCAGTGCAACTGCTGCTCAGTGACTCGTGACTCCTTGTCCTATATCCTCAGCAGACCCACCCCTGGCACATTCAATGATTGCCCCAGCAGACGCTTCAGTCAGACTGTTTCCTTCTGCCTTCGTGTAGCAGGTGGGTATTGGTAACCTCTGCTTCTGTAGGCTGGACCTCCTGAAGAGCAGAGCGTGTACTCCACGGCCAGGATATCTAGAATATCCACCCAGGGTTGTGCTGGGGTACACATAGGTACACCAAGGAAATGCAGCCAGGACGTCTGACTGTTCTCTGCTGCACTGTTATTTGTGGCCGCCCTTTCTGGGCTGAAACTCTCTACTATTCACTCCCACTCCCGGGGTGAAGTGGAGCCTTTTGGGCTTTGCAGGTGATGAACAGGAGCTGAGTTGCAGAATGTCCCAGGGACCCATGTCCCAGAATGAGCTGGAGCTGTGCCTGAGGCTGCAGTTAGCTTTTTGTTGGGTAACAGTTAGCTTTTTGTTTCCTAGAATGCCAGGAGTGGCTCCCAAAGTCAGAAGAGATCCTGGTGACTCTGGTGCAGGCCCTTGACAGATCCTGCAGTTGTGGAGTTTTTCCAGCCTACTTCAAAGGTGAGGCAGTCAGGAGTGGAGGAGCCTGAGTGCTGTCAGTGGTTACTGCTCATCTGCTTTTGATTTTTAGCCCTGGGTTTCCTTCTGGTTTGCATCCTCCTGGCTTGGATCTCAGCTAACTTGAACTCGGTTCTGATCATGAAAGTGCTGAGAGTTGAGCAGAGTGTGATGCTGTTCTGCATTGTGCTCCACCAGCTCTGGCAGCCAGCACACATCAGTGCTGGTTTGCAAACGTTGAGTGTTTGCTGTCAGACAGATTATAGAAACACAGAATCATAAATGTTGGAGAAGACCATTAAGATCATCCAGTCCGACCATCAACCCATCACCATTTTGCCCACTGAACATGTCCCAAAGTGCCACATCTACCTTTTTCTTGATGTGGCAACAGGGCCAACATCCCAGCTTGGAGACTAACTGTCCTTGTGATCCATAAAGACTGAGCCAAGTTGCAGCAGAAGTGCGAGTGGACTTACTGGTCTGCACTGTTTTTCTGGTATCCCTGCTAGATTTCTGCACAAATGGGATGGGCACATGTGGATACATGAAGAAAACAGCGTGACTCTGCAGTGTGCATTGTCAGCAACAGCACTTTCAGCTCAGCATGTTTAGAGGCCCCAAAAAGATCATTCTATCTGCTGCTGGGGTTGCAAGGCTTCCAAAAGAATGAGGATGTCTGTCAGTGAGCTGTGTCATCTGGTCCCAGACTCAAGCTGCAGGGTGGTACTGGTGGTACAGGCTGCCCCACCAAACTCTTCTCTTGTGTCTGTCTGACCAGGGGGCAGTGGTGGTAGACGAGGAGCTGATGAGCTTTGTGTCCCTTCCAGGTGAAAGTGCATCTTTAGAGATGTGGGGACACTGAAACAGACCTCTGCTTGCCTTGGCAGATCTAAAGGCAGCCTGCCAGGACCAGGGGCTTGTGTTCACCACCCTGCTCACTGCAAAGTCAGAAGCCCAGCTGAGCAGCCTGCTGCTTGCCTTCCAGACCTTCCTGGAGAGCCCCAGGGCTGTGAGTTTTGACGAAAGGAATATCACAGCAGAAAGCTCCTGCTTCAAGGATATTCCTGTGCCAGACTTGACCCCAGGTACTGGTCATCATTCTTGTATGTTGGGGAACGCTGTGTTTGAGGATGAGCATGTGGGCCCAGCCCTCCCAGGTTCAGCTCCTTTATTTTACTGGTGTCCATATGCAGACAAGCTGTGAGAAGCTCTGGTTCCTCTGTGTGTAGGGGACACCAACATGATCTGGTGTGCTGTGAGGGGCAGCTCCTGTCACCTGTGGGGCATCGGGTTCATGTAGGGCTGGCACAGCCTTGGCTCCCAATGGACACTGTAAAGGCCGTTGGGAATCTCTATGTGTTGGTACAAGAGGGGAAACGTGTGTGTTGGGGTGCTGGGCAAACATCCACAGTCTTCTGCTGAATTTGGTCATTCTCCAGCAAGGCAGTGTGCAAAGCTGTGTTCCTTGCTCGGGGTGCCGTGCACAGGGCCGCGTTCTGTTCATGACATTTTTGCTTTCCTAGGCGCCCCATCAGCGATACCAAAAGGAACAGCAGAGCCCTCGAGACAAGCAGGCAAACTACTTATCAACGAGGTGAACCCAGACAACCCAGGGGGAAAAGAAGACACGGAGTACATTGAACTCTTCTACACTGGACAAACATCCTTTGACCTCCAGGGATACTGGTTGGTCCTCTACAATGGCAAGACAGGACGGGCCTACCGGGTGCTGGAGCTGTCTGGACACCGCACAGACAGTCTGGGTTTCTTCCTGGTGGGAAGCAGCGCTGTGCGCCCGGCACCCATGGTCAGGCTGCCCCCAAACACCATCCAGAATGGGGCTGATGCTGTGGCTCTCTACTACAGCAGCAGCGCGCGCTACGTGCTGAACATGGCTGTGACTGCCAAGGGGCTGGTGGACGCCGTGGTGTACACATCCCGAGGGCCAGAGAAGGCAGAGCAGCTGCTCAAGGTGCTGGTGCCAGGGCAGGGCATCCTGTATGAAAATGACTCACACAGCACAGAGGATGAGTCCCTGAGCCGCTGCCACAGCCTGAGTGCTAGACAGCAGAGCAGCTTCCAGGTGGGTTGATGGCAGATGTCTGCTCTCCATCTGTAGGCACTGAGAAAGCAATGGTCGTGTTTGAGTGTGTCCCTGATTCCCATCAGGGAAAGTGGGGCATTCTGCTGAGCCATTCCACCTCCAGTGAGCTGCTGCTGCTCTCACCTGCCCTCACCTTTCTGACCCTCCTGTGTGCCTCTTGTTGGCCAGATAACAGCCCCACACCCCATGCCTCAGAACCAGAAGATCCCTGGGGCAGCTCACATGTCAACAGTCCCAAAACCTGGGAGCCTGCTTGTGGGCAGCATTCTGGAGCCTTCAGTTACCCTGAGCCACCTCTTCAGTCCCACTTGCTTGGTGCCACTCTGTAATGCGTGGCACAGCACTTCACATCCCTCAAACCCAGTTTCCCATATGCCGGTGCATGAAGGACCCTCTTTGATCACTGGCAGGATTCAATTTTAATTTGTTCCAGTTGTTCTTTTTTTTAATGTTGAGCATCAAATAGGCCCCGTAAGAGAATGCTGGCAGAGTGCATAAGTCAGATAAGGGAGGGCTGTACTGTTGCACTGCTAACGTCTGCTGGGGTCAGGCCAGCACGGGGGAACGGGTGGGAGGCAGAAGGGCAGTAGCCCTGTTGGGCCTGACCAGGGGAACACAAGCAGATGGCAGCAGCTCTTGTATGTCCTGCAGGTGACTGTGATGACACCGCTCAAGGAGAATGCCTGCAGCAGCCCCTCTGCACCATCCACAGCCACCATCCGCATCAACGAGCTGGGCATGGCGGGCGGTGGAACCGTCCACTTCGTGGAGCTGGAAGGGCAGCCAGGGGCCAGCCTAGCTGGGCTCAGCCTGCTTGTCTTCAAGGGCCAGGAGGGCAAAGTGCAACGCAGCATCACACTGAGAGGCAGCATTGGGGCATCAGGGCTGCTACTGCTGGGCAGTGAGCACGGTGAGGCAGGCAGTGTGCACAGTGGGGCAGGCATTGGGCACCGTGTGGGCACCGTGGGGTGGGCGCTGGGCACCATGAATCAGGCTGTGGGCACCGTGGGGTGGGCCCACACTCAAGATGTTCACCCATTTATCCCACTGAAATTCCCAGGTGGGACGGAGTTGGCATTTGAGGACATCTCTGCTGCTAGTGAAGGCATCAGCGCTATTGCTCTGTACAGCACCAGTTTGGTTCCTGGTGGCATGAAGGCAACATCAGAGAACCTAGTGGATGCTGTGGTGTTCACGTGCGGGCCGAGCACAGTGGGAGGACACCTGGACATTCTTGGCCCGCTGTATGCTGTGCCCTGCGGTTATGACAGGTGAGGCCACTTCTCTGGAAGATGTCCCTGGGCTCTTGGCTCCCAGAGCCTTGGCTGGCATGCCACCAAACTTGCTGCTTTGTCCTGTGCAGCCAGGTGTATTCACCAGCTTTGAGTTGGAAAACAGATAGATGGGCAGTGTATTGCAATGGAAAATGCTTCTACTTCAGTGTAAGACAGCTCTTCCACTGCCAGGTGAATTTTGCTTAGCGAGAAATGGGCTTGAGACTTTCTCTTGGTAGGAGTGCTAATAGAATTTCTCCTTTCCACAAAATCAGCTCTTTTAGTTAAAACTGTCCTCTGCAAGTCCTCTGCTCCACTCTCACATGGCTCGGATAGAGGTTCTGTGTTGGCAGCCTGCCCCTGGGAGCACACATGAACCAGGAGCAGCCATAGGAGCGCCCTTTTCTCAGAAAATCAAAATCTCCAGCTTCTGGCTGCCTGAAACATTGTACTGAAAGGCCTCCTCCAGAAACCAGTCCCCTTGAATAGGTTTACTATGACCAAGCCCCAGTGCAGTCCAGCTGATGGGGTCAGCTGCTCCCATCTGTCACAGTCCTGTAAAGGCTGATTTCAGCTCCAGCAAACTGTCTGTCATCCCTGGCAGTGCAGGGATTGGGAGCACTGAGGGGGGGTGTCTGGTTGGAGCCTCAAAGACAGATAAATGTCTTTGATGATGGCATTGATGTGCTTACACTGCTCTTCTGGTGGACAGGTCCGTGTCCTTGAGCCGCTGCCCCTCCAGTGATGCCAGCACAGAGCTGCAGTTTGCCATCTCGGAGCCAACCCCTGGTCTGCAGAACAGCTGTCCTCAGGGCACCTTTGCCGTGGGTCTGGACCTGTGCTTCCTGATACCCAGTAAGCAGAGCTGCGTGCCCCCACCAGCATGTGGAAGCAGTGTGGTGCAGGCCACGGCTGCCTGTGGGAGGTGAGGGGCTAGCAGGAAACCTTCCCTGCACTGTTGATGTGATGGAAAACACACCACTGTCCCAAGTCGGCACTCTTGCTCGTGGTTTTGGTGCACGCTTGTGTGAAAGTGGCTGCATGTTTCATTTGAGACACCTGCAGGCTGCAGCTCCTGCTTGAGGTCCCACCAAATTGTATCCATGCCTGCTGAGCTGCGCTCCTGAGCTCAGGCAGGAAGCTGAGTATTTAGCATCGGGAGCGTGATGGAGATGCCATCACTGGGGCTGAGCTGCACTCAAGAGGGAACCACTTCTCTTCCCACAGATTGCTCTGTGTGGATCCTGAACCATGAGAGGATGCTGGAAAGCTTGAGGAAGGCCTTGGTGAGCTCTCTGGAGGAGAAATGCTCCTGTGGAGTCTCTGAGCTCTACCTGCAAGGTTGGTGCCCCTCTACATCTCCCTGGTTTGCACCGTGCCCCCCTCAGCCACTCCACTGGGCACCAAAGGGAGGGCTGTGTTCGCATTACTCTGGAGGTCCAGGAGGGCTCATTGCCCAGCAGCCAGTCCCTTCTCAGCCCAACCTACAGGCTGCTCGTGCTGAGAGTCCACAGTGGGCTGCCTATAGAGGAAGGGCAGCCTAGAGGGACCAAGAAATGGGAGTTTCCAGGTTAACCAAAGCATCTCGAAGCCATGCATTCTTCTGTAAGTCAGGTCCAAGGGCCAGTTCTGAAGTCAGAATTCATCCAGTATGTCATGGGATGGTGGAGATGGGCCTCATTACCCCTAACATGGGTGTCACACACTTTCTGAAATGGTCCTTGTCCCTTGTGCAGGGCTTCTGAGCCAGACAGCCTGGGGTGGCAGCTCTGATCTCCCCACTGAGTTGCTTATGTTGGTTACTATTTAGGACAGCTGCCTCAGAAGGGCTTTGTGAAGGGTGCCCTCAGGTGTCTGTGAGACAAACCGAATATCCTAAACCCGTAAAGTTTAGGATGGTTCTCAACCCTTTCTCAGCCAGGCTCCTATGTTTATTTGAAGTACCTGGAGCAAAAAGTCACTTCTGGAAGTCTTAGAGCCCTACCTCTTCAATTTTTATTTATTGGCTGAGCTTGAAGGAAATGAGGGATCTGCAGTCATGCTGGCTGTCAGTCCTCCCCTGCTCTAACACTATTTGATTTCTATCAGGTTTGATGGGGCCCTGGGCAATCTGATCTGGTGCTTGGTCTAGTGGTTAGCCGTCCTGCCTATGGCAGGGGATTTGGAACTTGATGATCCTTGGGGTCCCTTCCAATCCAAGCCATTCCATGGTTCTATGATTCTATGAACACATCTTTGTTCTTTTGAGCAGTTTCAGACAGTTCTGACCAGTGGGTAAAGATCATAATTTATGAAGCAGAGTTCAAAGGATTTTACTGGATTCAGAGGACAACTCCCAGCCCATTTTGTGGCTGAAAAAAGAAAAGGCAGAGCACGTGCTCAGGTTGCTTGTTATGAAGTGCGGTGCCCTACAGAGGGTGGTGAAGAGAGCATGGGGGGAGGAGGTGGTTCCTGGAGCAGGAGCAAGGTGTTCCCATGCAGCAGGTGGGCTCCCCCCTGCTCAAGGCATGCCGGTGCTTCTCTGCAGAGCTGAACCTGACGTGTGTAGACTCTGTGGTGAAGATCTCAGGTCGGATGCATGTTCCACTGCCAGAGCAGCAGCAGCCCGTGGAGAGCTGGCGCAAGGACCTCCTGGCCAGTCCCCACCGTTTTTCTGTGGATGGAAGAGAGTTGGAAACCAGCCTCGAGTGTACGGCCCAAAGAAGCACGCCGGTGTCATCGCAGAGCAGTTGTGAGTGGGAGCAGAGCTGGGCACGGGGATCAGCACCAGCAGGGCTGGGCTCACACATCTGGTGCTGCTGCTTACATAAAGCTGTCTTCTGGCACTGATGGGTGATGGGGAGTGGGGTAACGATGGCTGGCTGCTTCACTGTAAGGGGTGATAGGGCAGTCACCTTGCCATCTCAGTGCCCCAGATGCAGATGCCTGCATCTGCCTGTGGGCCTGGGGTAGCCCCATTCAAGAAGCCCCAGTGCTGGCTGCTTGAAGCCAGCCAGAGCTAGAGTTCCACAGGGTGTTTGCAGGCAGGTGGAAGAGGAGTGAGATGGGGGCTGGAGATGGCCCCCTCGTGGCACACCGTGCTGGGCAGAGTCCTGACTGCAACACCCCATCTCTGCCTTCACACCCCCAGCCTCCCTCCACAGCTGGGAGATCGCCCTGTTTGTCGTGGGAGCTCTGCTGCTCGCGCTCTTGCTGGTGGGCCTGGCGTTGCACTTCATCAAAAGGTGAGAAACCGATCCTAAAGTAACCACTGATAAAACCATGGGTGGAAGGGCTGCTCCTTGGAGCGAGCTGGAAGCGACGGATGGTTGAGGATAGGCTTGAGAGGAGACAGCTTCCACGTTACAGCACCGCTTTAAACAATTACTCGATGGCCCTAGCATTGCTAGAAGGCTGCTTAACGTTCCAGTGGTCAAAAGCAGTGTTGGTGGGAGTGTTATTTAACCAACTCAGGTGATGAAGATTCTGTGATCTTCTTTTATCGTTGGCTAGGGTGCTGCTATGCAAGTGCTAGAAGAGAGGAAAGTTCTTAAATCACATTTGAGGAATGGAAAACTCAGGAAGTGTTTTACAAGGGAGTGTAAAAAATACTGCCAGGTTTAGAGAGTCTCTTCCAGAAATCAGGGCAGCTTAAAGCCAATCTACTTGTGTAGGTGTTCTGCCCATTTTTCCCCACAGTGCTAACAGGCACCATGGTAAACTCAGTGATTGAAGACTGGTCATCCAGGATCTTCATTTTAAGTGCAAAGCTGAGATGAAGAGTGAGAGCCTGGTGCCCAGACACAGGAGGGGAGATGGAACAATCATTCCCTGCTTTCTGCCAAAGAACGGAGTAGCTGATCTTTCGTTTTACTTTGTCCATTGCTTTTCAGACGTTTCCAAAATTACACCAACATTGAATTGAACGACTGCACTGAGATGGCAGCAGACTTCTAATGCTCCCAGGTACACCTACAGTGGCACAGCCACCACCACCAAGGCCAGGCTTGTGTCTGCAGGTGGCAGACAAGCTGTCCAGCTCCCTCTTCCTCCAGGACCTGCAAAATCCCATGTGTGCAAAATCCCATATGAATATGTGGGTACATATACAGGTGTATACACACACACACATACATACACAACATGCCTGAACTATTTTTACACTTCTAATTTTTTACCTCAAACTAAAGGAGTTGAAAGAAACAAGCAAATTTTGTGCTGTGATGACCAGAAGGAAACCCCCTTGGCTCATGCACAGCCCTACAGCAGTGAAAGTCTTTCAGCCTCCCCTGATCCCCTCTTGTCCAGGCAAGGGAGTTCAGAGCATCATGCCTCTGAAACCCATGCTGTAGCAGTTCTGTAGCACCAACAGCTGGGGCCACCAGACTTTCTCTGCAGATAATCCATGTAGCCTTTAGGCAGCAGCCACAGACTCTGAAGCATAAGCTTCATGACTTTGTCCTCCTGTGGTGCCAGCTCACCCTGCTGTCAGTGCAGCCGTGCTAGAACACCCTGCCTTCACGAAAGGTCAGAGGAACTCCATCCTGAACTGGCACTGTGGGTGAGGGCTTAGCCGTGCTGCTGAATGGATGCAGGGCTGGTTGGTTGGCACAGCATCATGGTTCATGTGGAGCTGAGCTGCTGCAGCATCATCAGCATTTCCTGCTGGAGCCGCTGCTGATATTCCTGCTGGTGCTCCAGGTGGCACTGCCTCTCCAGCTCTGTGTGCGGTGCCTGCCTCAGCTCCTGGATCTCCGTGTGCAGCATTCAGCTACTCAGCAATGGCATGGGAGTCAGGAGCAGCAGGAAGTGCTGCTCCACCTCAAGAGGGATCTTAATTTCTAGGGCTTGTGGGATTGGGCAGGGCAGTCTGAGCGCTGGCATCTTTGACCTGAAACAGCAGGAGGCATGAGAGAAGTGAAAAATCACCAGCTGCTCCTTCAGTGAGGTCTGGCACTTTCTTCCCCCATGCTTCTCCCAGCCTGGTCTGGACCAAGATACAGCAGGGCACCATGCAGGACTACTCCTGTAGGCACCACAGTGCCTGCTCCAGCTGGAGCTAACAGGTCCTCTGGAACCTGCTCTGTCACCCAGCATCCTGCCTTTTCTGCTGAAGAGCCCTGTCTAGAAGCATTGTCTTTACCACCAGGGGTGAGCTCCTGGCAGGGGGCACAACCAGCCTCACCAAGATGGGTGGCATCTCTATGGGGGCAGCTTGGTCCCTAGTGTCAGCAGCTCTGTGGAGCCGTGGGGGCATTGTCACCTGCAAGGGGCAGAAGAGAAATGCCTCAATAGGCAATCCCATCCCCAAACTTCCTAGAGGAGAGGAGCAAGGAGCCCTCGCCCTGCAGGACTGGGTGGGGACCCAGCCGTACTCCTCCCAGGGGGCCGTCCTGCAGGTGAGCCCTCACCACCCTGGCAGAGCGAGGTCATGCTGACAATCTGAATGTCTTCCTTGCTGTCCTGGCTGATGGCAGGAGTTGTGCTGGGCAGTGCACGGAGCTGTGTGCCCAGCGGCTGGGGTTGCTCAGCCACGTGTCTCTGCTCCATGGACCAGGGCTGTTCTGCACCTCACTCAGCTACTGCTGTCTCTGGCTCCATGCTATTCTGCTTGACGAAGCGGTGGACAGCCTGTGATGTCATCTGGATGCCATCCAGCTCGAGAACATTCTTGATCTTGCAGAAGCTCATCCCAGCCCTGTGCAGTCCCACAGTCTTCTTGGTGTAGTATCCAGGCATCCCATCACTCTCAGCACGTATACCTAGCTGGTGCCACCACTCAACCCCACAGCACAGAGCAGAGCAGGGACACAGTGACAACTAGACAGCACCACGCAGTGCTAGGGCACTGTTAGCACTCTGCTACCAGGCTGGTGGCCATGGAGCCGTGTGATGACACAGGGCCCAGACACAGGGAACGAGGAGGGGGCTCTGGCTGGCAGAGAAACTTCTTTGCTCGCATGCTCTGTAGGGTCCCACCTGATGCCCCAGTCCCACAAGGGCATGGAGGATACTAATGGGCTTTGCTCTGCCTGATGTGAGCAGTGCATCAGAGAAGGGTGGGGAAGAAAGCAGAACAAGAGCAGGTTCGGGAGGGTGTGCATCTCTCCTGACAGACAGATGGGTTGTTGGAGGACTAGGGTGAGTAATAAACAGGGTAACTCCAAATCCACTCACAAAGCCATTCTGAGGTCTGTTATCACTCCCTGTTGTTATGACCTCCTCGGATGGCTGTGGCTGACCAGGGCAGCCCCCTTGTTTCAGACACAGCTGGGGTATCAGGGTTGTGCCAGCTCTGCGGCAGTGATGTGTGAGTGCTGCTCCTCATTGGTGGTGTGCCACCGCACTCAGACCCACGGCTGCTCAGGTCTGCAAGTGGCCATGGTGCAGCTGTGTCCCAGTGCCCAGTCTGGGCCCCCAGGACTCAGCTCTGTGGGGAGTTGGGTGCAAGTCCTGCCCAGCAGCATGTCTCTCTGGGAGTCCATCAGGTCCCTGCTGGAGCTTTGTGTCTGCTTGGTGGCAGGAAAAGCTGTGGTAAGCTGTAGCTTGGTGCCTGGGAGTCCACCCATCAGGTCTGTAGGTGCTGCTGTCTCATACTATTGAGGGAAGCAAAAGCAACCATTTATATGTCATTGTAAAGAAAGTCTGGGTACACACACATGACTGCACCTCCTGGGCTTCCCCTTCCCCATGCAGGGAATGCATGGCAAGGACAGTGGGTCACAACAGTCACACACCACATGTACATAGGAATATACTTGTAAATATGGGAACAATGCACATATACATGTGTGCACGTCTTCTACAGCAGTGGAGGTTTTTTCCATTTTCTGTCAGCTTTGTTCACCTGCAGGCATCCTTGGAAAATCAGTCCTGCATCTGCTGCTCAGCAGGCATACCAGGGGGCCTCACCTCCCCTAACAAACAGCCCCCAGGAAAGCACAGCACAGCACAATGTTTTGCAGAATACAGCTTGTACCAGGGATCACATTGGGTGGCTGCTGCCAAGCAGGTGCCATCCACACATCTTCTCCAAATTCCTCTTTCACAGACCTACACTGGTCTTGAAAAAGACCTTGACACGTTTTATGTGCCAAGAAGGCACAGAGACTGCTGCAGATCATCTACAGAAAGCCAGGGAAGAAACAGCACTAGTTGTTTAGTTATACTGCTTTGCGTTGTACTTCTTCCATGGCGAAAAAGAGGGGCATTAACCAGATGTAGACTGCACTCTGATCCAGAGTTGTTTGCAGCTAAAGGCCATCCCACACGCTGTTACACACGAGTGACCTTGTAGATGAGAGCTGCAGAGGGCAGGTGGTGGAGGTCATAGTATCAAAGAATCATAGAATGGGTTGAAAAGGACCTCAAAGATCATCCAGTTTCAGCCCCCCCAGATACGTGTAGAGTCGCCAGCCACTAGACCAGGCTGCCCAGAGCCACATCCCACCTTTGTGGCATTTTGAAGCTGCACTTTTGCAGTAATTTGAACATCCAGAAATTACATCCCGTGTGTCTCAGGCTGCCTGCTGCAGGAGGTGGCTGGTGCTGCATGCTGGGCCCTTCCTCCTTTGCTCGCTCATCCCCAGCCCTCAGCATGTCATGCAGTGTCACACAGCTCAGCTCCAGTTCTGGTGAAGCCTTCTCACTTTGCTGGGTAAAGAACAGGCAGGGAGGCCAGGCCCAGAGAGTGGTGGTGAATGGAGTGACAGCCAGCTGGCGACTGGTCATGAGTGCTGGTCCAGGTGTTGGTATTACATTACTGGATAGGACAAGAGAGAATGCCTCAAGTTGCAGCAAGAGAAGTCCAGTTTGAGTATGTTGGAAATATCCAGGACGGTATCTCTGATAAAGCAGATTTTATTTGCAGTTGCAATGGTAACTCTCCCTGCAAACAGGAGAGCACACAGATAACAGCATTACATCTTTTGTGCCCTATTACTCGATGCTTATCTCTTTCTCCCCTGGTTCCTCATTGGCTGAGTACTGCAGATTCACAATCTTACCGATGCTCAACTAAACATACCTGGCTAAACTTAAATCTTTGCTGGCTAAGCATAAACCTCTAATTATTTAATTAACTTATAGCACTTTGTCCACACTTGGTCATTGTTTCCGGACATCTGTTTGTCCTTCCTTACATAGAGATAAGCTCGGAAGGAGGATAGAGGGGAGTATCTTGATGCCTGCCTGTTGCCTCCCAATCTTCCCACAGAGTGAGGCAGCCCAGCCTTGTGTAGAGGCCCTGGCTTCTTTGATGTTTGTAAAATCTGTTTTTCTTTTGCTGGTAGTTTCTTATCCTAACAAAACAACCCTACAATATGTTTTCTAATCCCTGGCACTATGCCCACATTGTTTGGAACATTTAAAAACTATTGCAGTTTTGCAAGAAAGAATTAATCACATAAGTCAGCAGTTATGTTTCTAAAACAGGCTGCTAAGGTATACAGTATTCCTACTTTTTACATCAACTATTTCTAAGGATAAGTTACAGAATACAAATACATTATGTTCTAATTCTTCAAATCAATTGTCCTTTTAAAGATCTAATGCAGGAACAACACTGCATTCCCACGAGTATTAGGAAAAACTTTTTCTCTAAAAGAGTGGTCAGGCATTGGAATGGGCTGGAGGAGAACATGGCAATGCCCAGATGGACACGGGCTGGCTGGAGTACTGCATCCAGATCTGGAGCCCCCAGGACAAGCAAGACAGGGAGCTGTTGGAGAGGGTCCAGAGGAGCCACAGAGATGATCAGGGGCTGCAGCACCTCCACTGCAAAGACAGGCTGAGGGAGCTGGGCTTGTTCAGCCTGGAGCAAAGAAGGCTGGGGGTGACCTCATTGCAGCCTGCAGTACCTAAAGGGAGCCTACAGACAGGAGGGGAGTCAACTCCTGAAAAGGGTGGATAACAGCAGGACAAGGGGAAATGGTTTGAAGCTGAGGGAGGGCAGATTGAGGTTGGATGTCAGGGGAAGTTCTTTGCTGTGAGAGCGGTGAGGTGCTGGAGCAGCTGCCCAGAGAGGCTGTGGATGCCCCGTCCATCCCTGGAGGTGTTCAAGGCCAGGTTGGATGGGCTGGTGTGAAATGGGGAGGTTGGTGGCCCTGCGTGTGGCAGGGGGCTGGAGCTTCATGATCCTTGAGGTCCATCCCAACCCAGGCCATTCTGTGATTCTGTAACACGGAGCACTCAGACGGTGCCTTTAAGGCGCCCGACCTGCTGCCCCCTCCTCCATCCCTCCCTCCCCGTGACGTCATCACTGCTCGCCACGCGGAGGCTCTTCCCGCCCGCGCTGCGCTAATCGTGTGCGACGGGGTCGGAGCGGTGGTTGCGGAGGGCGCCGAGGATGTGAGTGGGGCGGGAGCTGATTGTCTGCGCGGGCATCGGCCGCCATCCGTCCGGCCGCCGCTCGGTGCGGCCTCGCCGCCGCTCGGGATTGCTCAGGGGAGCCGGCGGGAGCCGATGGAGTGGTTATGGAGGGAGATGAGAGACAGGGATGGCGCCGCGGCCTACCGCGGCCGGGGGCGGGGAGGAAGGCGGGAGGTCTGGCCTGGGCGGAGCCGGGCCTGAGGCCTGCAGTGGAGCTGGGGCCAGGGGTCCCGCCGCCCAGCAGCGGGCGGGCAAAGCGTCGGGAGCGCCCCGCGGGTCTCGCTCCGCCCGGCGCCGTACTGCAGCCTGTGAGCGGCTGAGGCCCGGCCCTGCGCTGCCCTTATAGCCGGGCGGCGGCGTTGAGAGAAACTGCCGATTCGGGTCAGTCTTAATTCATGCGAGGAAAACTTTACTATACTTGACAAACAAGGACCTATAAGCAAGTTGCCGTTCCAAGACGCGCCTGCCGGGCAAGAAGGCCTGGGGAGAGCCGAGGTCGTTGTTTTGGCTGCAGCTGTCTATGAGCATAGGTCTCCTCAGAGCTCACTGTGTGCAGGGAGCGGCCGGCCTGTTAGAGTGCTCTGAGGCCGGCTGTGCTGGGCTGGGTGCTGCACGAATGCTGAGATGTTGGGGGGTATCGGAGTTTGTTTCCATTTTAGGAAGGGAGGTGTTGCTTAGGAATGCCTTGTGTTGTTAATGCGCTCACGCTGCAGTGTTATTCTTTATGGAGGTGTGTTCCAGTGAACGCCTGAGCATGTGCATGTGAAAGTGCCCAGGGGCTGCGTCTCCCAGGCCGAGGTTTCCAAGTGAAACTTTCTTGGGAATGGTATATTTTAATTGGGTGAAAAAAGAACGCTGTTTAGCCTAAGGGCTGCCTGAAAGCTGCCTTTGACAGAAGTTTGCTGGAT